GTACAGCATTGCGGGTCGCCAAGTTTCAATATCTAAACTAAACTCATATACTACAATACGACGTGCAAGACAAAACAAGAAAATATAAGGCATATGTAAATGTACTAATAAGCACTACTGAGATGTATTCCAGTTTTCTTTAAGAACAAAGCAGTGAGCACTGACGTTAGGTACGAAAAAACAAGATCTATTTTAGGAAAGCTTGGTTTAATAACAGGCAAATTCTTTTACCGCTTGTGGAATCTCCTTATTTGACCTTACACGCCTAATTATATTTTAATGACCTAATAAACAGCTAAACTAAAGTCGCAATCGAGACAAGAAGTTATTTTCGAGTCAAGGGACGACACTATTGAAAGTATATATCACATGGGACTCTAATAAAGTTATTCAAAGTTTGAATGAGAAACAACTGAATATAATTGATGATTTTTTAATAATTATGCAGAAAATGCACTTGATCCAAGTTTACTAACGTTCAAATAACATTTGAAATTATACGGAGATATCAAATCCTCCAATAAGAATCTGTTGCTCCATCGCATTCACAACGACTACTCGGTGACATTATTCAGTACAAATAAACAATAAATATACTTTAGATCGAAATAATCAATTAATTATAAAGTCCAATCTTAATCACACATTTTAGTTATAACATATACCTTTAATTACATTGCTACAGTACATCATCTTTTCTTTTTTTTTGTCAACCAGTATCATCATCTATCCGGATGAATCCACGACTAGAACAGTACGAGTCGAATTAAAAATTAAAATTGGACCGAACTTAATTTCATTATCGAAAAATCAAATGGAACAATATTTTGTTGAATAAAAGTTAGAACGGTGAACCTTTAAATTTACCTCTCCTTTTAAAACAAATCAAAATAACACATAAATAATTAATTAAAAATATTAAATTCATTTAACAATAACTAAAAATAAAAAGAATGCCAATTTTAATAAGACGTCGCTAATTAAATCATAAACCCTAAAATTTAAATTCTAAATCCAAATCCTAAACCCTAAATCAAAATCCTAGACCCTTAACCCAAATTATATACCCTAAACCCAAAATACATACCTTAAACCCATACTGTAAACCTTAAATCTAAACCGTATACTATAAACCAAATTCTAAACTCTAGGCCTAAACCGTATACCTAAACCCAAATCCTAGATTTAAAACCCAAACCTTAGACGTAAACGCTATTGGATTTAGGTTTAGGGTCTAAGATTTAGGTTTAGAGTATATGGTTTGGACTTAAGATCTAGATTTGGAGTTTAGAGTATGCATTTTCGGTTTAGGGTCTGGGATTTAGGTTTAGGATTTATGGTTTAGGATTCAGAATTTAAGATTTAAGACTTGTAGTTTAGCTTGCGGTGTCATTATATTTAACGTTATTCTTATTTTTAGTTACTTTAAAATAAATTTAATATTTTATTTAATATTTTTTTGATATATATCTATGTGACACTTTGATCGGTGATATAATGAAATGTGAATTTAAAGATTCACTCTAAGTTTTGTTCTATTTTGTTACCCTCTCCTCCTTTAAACGTAGGTACCTGTAATATAATGAATGAATCCAAAAAGTTATTAAAAAGGAAAAAAGTTGATTATCAAAAGCATTTCCATAAATCAAACAAAAATCACATTTACATCAGTTTTAAACCAATACTAAACCACAAAACAACTTACAGAAACAAAAAAAAAAAGCAGATTGTTTCAATAAAATATTTTGAGCCTCAAGGAGAAGATCGAGGCTGTGATGATGATGAGGTGGCGAAACTACGTCGGTTTGTTTGGGTGCTGAACTCGTGCTGAATACGTTCTTGCTCCAATGGAGCAACTAGAAAGGACAAAAAGAAGACCAAGAACAAGAATTGTTCTCGTGAGTTGGTTGATTCTTGACGTTCTGCGATTTCGAGAAGACATTTAGTAAGAAAAAAGATGAAAGGCGATGAGAGAAAATGAGAGCGAGAGGGAGGGGGAATTACTATTTTGTTGAAAGGTTTTTGGGTGGATTTATATAATATTTTTTAAAGGTGTTTTTGTAATGGTGACGGAATGAAAAAGTGGAGGGTGTGAATTGTTAATAGCAAGAAATGGGCACATCAAGAAAGAGAGGTCGAGAGGATGGTGATTGGAAGATGTTGACATATGGCTAACTTCCTATGTTTTTTTTTTTAATGTTAAGGAACCCCAAAAATCCGAAAAACCCGATCCGAACGCCAACGGGTACCCGAACGTCCAGGCCTAGCATCTACATCCATAGACTCCAAACTAATCATGGATTATTCGTCGTTAAGTAAGAAAGCTTATATTACTAATTTAAATAATATACTATTAGGTTTAGGGATGTTTGGAACGAGGAGATTACAAATTAATATTATACTTTATGAAGTCATGTACTAGTATTTTGAGAATGTGAAATTAGATCATATAATCATTAAAAAATTATGATTAGCAAAATGCACATATGCTTATAATGGCTGTGACATTCTTCATATAATATATATGAAGACAAAAATACACTTCATACGTTTTCACTCTTCTTGTAATTTCATTGTCGATTTTATCCTTCTGTAAACAATGATGTTTGCTCTTTTTCTTTATTACACTGTTATTGAATTTTAGTTTCTTCATTTATTCCAGTTTTTGTTGGGTTAACAATTTTGCTAATTTTTTATGTGAATTAAGAAACAAAGAATGCGTATAGAACATTTGAAAAAGATAAACAGTGCACATTATATCTGAGTAACATAGAATATAATATAACAAAATTTAATATGAATATGATAAGAGTCATAAGACGGATGTATTTGACTTTTAGATGGTCGGTGTGAAGTTTTCTTGTATCATTCTTGATAACAGAGAGTGCATCTCTTATGTGAATCTAATAACCATATTGTAAAAAGACTTCTTCATCTTCTATGTCATCATCAGTTGATACAAAAGATGAAAGAATATAACCAATTTACTTTTTGTATGTTCTATTCTATTATAGATTTATAGAATTTCTTGAAAGATTTCTTAAATGTAATATAAGATGTATTATTTTTGTTGTTATCTCACTTGTAACATCAATATTATCACCATCTATGTTTGATTGCTAACATATTTTTCTCCTCTTCTACTGTTGTCACCCGTTATCCTCTCACTTTTTTCTATCGGTCCTTCTCCTCCTCCACATCCCGTGATGGTTCTTTTTATTCTCCCACCATGTTTTTTTCACTTTTATTTCATTTAACAACAACAATATCTCTTTTATTTCATTATTACCAGTAGAGAGTCAATGAAGTTTCTCTAACAAAAAAAGTTAATCTCCGCAGCAGACATAATTAAGCATTATACGTGGAATTATTTATTAATTCTACATAAAATGTAGTTAATTAATCATCATATGTAATAAAATTGAGAATTATATGATGATATAATTGTTATCCAGCGTTTAAAAAAAACAAAAAGTTAATATTTCAAAAAAATTATCATCGAATAACTCTATATAGTAAATAAATATTTCAACAGTTTGTTTGACTTTCTCATTTGAAAGACTATTGCATTTATTTCCATTGCTATCTGACCTTCTTTTCTTCAATTTTGAAAAATTGATGGTAATCAATATGGATAACTTTACAATTTTTTTGTGCCATTGGATACTGCGACTTTTTAAAGATAGTAACCAATATATATTTTTTTGGTAAAAAAGTAACCAATATTTTCTCATTCAAAATCATTAAAGGGGTGTTAGTGAGAGTTAATCCTTCGAATTTATATAGAGTTTATTAATTTTAAAGGTTGAGAAATTTCTCAAATTGGAAGTAATTGAAGAGAATTTTTGAATATTATGAAAATTTATAGAAATAAATTTTGGTACAGTAATTTTAAGAATCTAAAAGATGTATACAGAATTCTCAAAATATTGTATAAGGAGTTGTATTCTCTTTAATAAATTTATATAATCATTAAAACCCAATTTTTTGGATAAATATTTTTGTATAAGATTATATATCATCAAATTAATAACACTAAATTTTTAGTTAGAATATGACAATAAACCAACACTAGATTCTAAAATTATAATCATTAAAAATCTCACTTCCATTGACACCCCTTAAATATTTCCAGCAGCTTATTTAAGAGATAAAACATTAAAATTAAAAAAAAACATTCATAATTATTTGTTTCTAACACTTTGAATATGAATAAAATTTTATATATATTCTTCCATATATGAATATAATATCCATGCAGTAGTCAATACAAATCTTTCATATTTTTTTTTGTTTTTATACTTCTTGTTAGGTCAGAATAATATATCGAAAATAAATATTGCATACTTTTTATAGTCAAAAACATTTAATAATTGTAAATTTCCTGATTTCTTACCATAAAACTTTTTAAGACAGTAACAAATACAAATAGGAGGTGGAAACAACCCAAAAAATTACACACTCCAGGTGACGCGGTGCACATTAGCCATCCCCCCCCCACCCAACCAATCAAAACCCATCTTTTCCGGCGTCTCTTCGTTCCTGTGCCATCATGGCCACGTGGAACGCCTCCTCCTCTCCCGCTGCAGCTGCTTCATCTCCTTCCTCGAGGAAAAGAACCGAGGCTCCAAGGAGACACCCTTCCTTCGAATCTCCACCGAGGAAGACGAGATCAATCGCCGATATAATGGCGGAATCTGCGCCTGACGTCGTCGTTGATCAGGAGCAAAACGACGACGTTACCTACGCTGACGTCACCTGCGAGAAATGTGGGTCCGGAGAGAGAGCCGACGAGCTTCTTCTCTGCGACAAATGCGATAGAGGGTTCCATATGCAGTGTCTTAGACCGATTGTTGTTCGTGTCCCTATCGGACAATGGGTTTGTGTCGATTGTTCTGAGGAACGACTGGTTAAAAGTATGTCTTTTTTCTTTTTCTTTTTTTTGGTTAAAAGTTTGTAACTTTGGTGTGTTCTTGTATTCTAACTGTTGTTGGGGTGTTATGTGTTCTGTAAAAAGTATGTCTTTTTATTTTTTATTTTTTTTGGGTTAAAGTTTGTAACTTTCGTCTGTTCTTGTATTTAACTGTGTGTGGGGTGTTATCTGTTTTAGGTCTGTCTCAGAGGAAGATTATGCATTTCTTCCGAATTGAGAAGCATATCTATGTAACGGAACAGCCAGAAGAGTTGATTCAAGGTATGGTTTTGTCTTTGGCTTTCATGATCGTTGTTCTGTAGTGTTCTAAAAATCGGTCTAGGTGTCGCAAATCGGGTCTAAACGAAAACGATTGTTTCAGACCGATTTGTCGAAAAAAATCGGTCTAAACATTCAAAAATCGGTTTAAGCGTCCTTCTAAACAATAATCTTCTATAAGACAGACGAGACTAATTACCGCCGCCTAGCAACTTTTAAAACATTGAAAAATATTTTAGCTTTATGAGATTGAAGAGATGCTTAACATGGTTAACAGTATAATTGAATATGAAAGATCTCAACTATAGCTTATAACATTCTTGAATCTTTGCACCTCATGATGTATTAAGGCTTATAGGGTTAATAATAATTGATGAGAACTAGCTGCTTCATTGATTAACCAAATATATATATATTTAAGTGTTTTGAAGTTGAGAGCAATATTTCGTTTTTAATGGCTTTCATTAATTGGTTTTTTGAAGAAGAGCCAATAAAGCCCAAGAAACGATCTCGCCCTTTGACTATGAAGAAGAGAAGGAGAAGACTGTTACCTTTTGTTCCATCAAAAGATTCTCGTCAGAGATCTGCACAACTGAGATCACTTGCATCTGCTTTAACAAACTTGAATATAAAGTACACCAACGACTTGACTTATGTTCCAGGGATGGCTCCTCGGTCTGCTAATCAGGCCATGTTCGAGATTGGTGGGGTGCAGGTAATAAAAGAGACAAGTCTTTCATCTCTTTTCAAGAACGCACTTACTTCCCTTAGTTGCTTTCTCTCGGCTTTTGTTTTGTGTAGGTGCTTCCGAAAGAAGATTTCGAGACATTGGAACAGTGTCGAGCTATGCATAAACTAGGAGAATACCCTCCTCTTGTTGTCGTAGAAGATCAGTTTGAAGGGTATATATCGATTCATTTGATCAATCTTCCCTTTATGACACAGTGAAGTTATTAACAATTGTTTATTTTCCTCTCTGTTTATTACAGTTACACAGTTGAAGCAGATGGTCCAATTAAGGACTTCACACTCATAGCTGAGTATACAGGAGATGTTGATTACTTGAAGAACCGTGAAAATGACGATTGTGACAGCATCATGACTCTCCTTCTATGTGAAGATTCATCGAAATCTCTTGTCATCTGCCCTGACAAGTATGGAAACATATCTCGCTTCATCAGTGGCATCAACAATCACAATAGGTAAGCTAAGATTTAATATCTTTTAGGTTTCTTTTTTGTTCTAACATACAATCATTCATCACATTACTGATGGTTGCAGGTTTAGCAAGAAGAAGCTTAACTGTAAATGCGTGAGGTATAGCATAAATGGAGAAGTTCGAGTTCTTATAGTGGCTACTCGCGATATCGCGAAAGGGGAAAGGCTCTACTATGACTACAATGGTTATGAATATCAGTATCCTACTCATCACTTCCTATGATCTCTCACTTCAGACAGTTTGACAGAGAGTCTCTGGACCAATTCAATAGTTTTTTTTTTATTTTGTTGTTATACACTAGCGAATTACAAGGGTATAGATCTAAAAGGGTATTGCAATTGGAGAGGTTAATCATTCTTAATTATGAAGTTAGTGATAGACTAATTACAGCTTCTTTGGCAGAACTTTTGTTTGGTTTCACAGATTAAAAATTTATAACTTCTTTTTTATGTTGTTGTAGACCTTTGCCAAATAAGGTTTATTTAGTTTTATACTCTCACCTATGAATTTATAATTATATTGGTTTTTTTTTTGAACAAAAATTATATTGGTTTACAAAATGAATAACTGAAAAAATAACAAATCTCTGATCCGAGCTATAGTACTTTCTATCGACCAATGTACTCTATCTGTATTTGCCATAATATGTTCTCAAAGAGGAAAACAATAAAGTTAGCTATGTTGTCAGAACAGAGGAAGACTCTTAGGGTTTCAAGTGTCGCAGCGAAGCCCCCAAGTCAACCATCTTCTGTTCGCGGATGATACGATGTTGTTTTGCAAGACAAATGAGAAAAACTGCAGAGAGTTTGGCAAGATTTTAAAAGAGTACGAGATATGCTCAGGCCAGAGTATAAACCTTAACAAGTCGACCATCACATTCTCTGCAAAGACCCCGGAGTGTATAAAAGAAAGAGTCAAAGGTATGCTGGGTATAGAGAGAGAAGGGGGCATGGGAAAGTACCTCGGTCTACCGGAGAGCTTTGGGAGGAGGAAAGGAGACGTCTTCACGGGACTGGTGGATAAAATCAGGCAAAGATCACAGTCCTGGACAGCTAGGTTCCTCTCCGGAGCTGGTAAACATGTGATGTTACATGCCGTTCTCTCGGCTTTGCCAAATTACCCTATGTCGAGCTTTAAAATTCCCATCTCGGTTTGTAAGCGCATTCAATCAGTTCTAACAAGATTTTGGTGGGATAGCTCACCAGATAAAAGGAAAATCTCGTGGGTCTCCTGGGATACTATGGCTCAACCAAAGCGCTTAGGAGGCCTTGGCTTCAAAAACATCTCAGACCAAAATGACTCGCTGCTAGCAAAGCTTGGATGGCGCATCCTAAATCACCCTAACTCCTTGCTGGCTCAAGTGCTTAAAGGAAAATATTACTCAGACTGTTCTTTTATGGAGAGTGGAGCAAAAGCGGGCTCATCACATGGGTGGACGAGTATTCAGGCTGGAAAAGATGTGTTGGAAAAGGGCCTCGGGTTCCTGGTGGGAAATGGAGAGAAAATCCATATTTGGACAGACAAGTGGCTGTCTCCTTTCTTCCCTTCAGCGCCAATAGGACCGCCTACAGAAGAGAACCAAGAGATGAGGGTCTCGGACCTTTTGGTGAGGGAGACAAACGAGTGGGATATCGACCAAATACGCCTCCATTTGCCTCTATATGAGGATGCTATAAGATGCATCATCCCAAGTTCACTCAAACCAGAAGATAAGAAAGTGTGGTTGCCTGATCCTTCGGGGGTCTACACGGCAAAATCAGGGTACAAGAGGATTTTTGAGGAAAAGCACCCGGTAATCCCAAACTCTTTTAAGTGGATGAAGTATGTTTGGAAAGCAACAATTTCGCCGAAGCTACATCATTTTCTTTGGAGGGTGCTTTAGAATGCAATTCCAGTGGGTTCTCTTTTAGCTATAAGAGGAATTGACTCAGAACTATGTTGTAAAAGATGTGGAGAACACGAACCATTGAGCACTTGTTTTTGCCCTGTTTCTTTTTGCAATTGAGTTCTGGTCCAAAGCCCCCCTTTCACCCATGATTCCAGTTGGTGCGGATGTGGCTAATATTAGAGATTGGCTTGTTGCTACTGTCAACAGGATTTCTCTGCCCCCGGTGGCGGTGGTAGCGTCACCTCTCATCACGTGGCTGCTTTGGAACCTGTGGACAGCGAGAAACAAGCTAGTATTTGAAAGTAAAATTTATCAGGTTGAAGAAGTAATCTCAAAGGCTGTAACTGAAGCTCGAGAGTGGAAAGAGGCAAATGCACCAAAGAAGAAACCTCAGAGGCTACCTAAAAATGGCAGTCCTACGGCGAGGGATGTATGGTTATGTTGGTGTGATGGAGCTTGGAGGGAAGAGTCAAAAATTGGAGGTATGTGTTGGATCATAAAGAATGAAGCGGGAGAAGTAATTTGCAGGGGAGCAGCTAATCGACAGTTCGTTTCCTCAGCCTTGGTTGCTGAAGCGTTAGCCATTAAAGTAGCGCTCAGTAAAGCTTCCTCCCTGGAGGGGCAGCGCCTCCACGTATTTTCGGACTGTCAAGTCCTTGTCTCAGCTCTTCGGGAAGGGCACGACATGAATGAGATCGCGGGTATTCTCTTGGACATCAGGAACCTTGCTACTCTCTTCTGTCATTTATCTTTTTCTTTCATTCCTAGAATCGAAAACTCTCAGGCGGATAAGCTGGCAAGTGCTGGTCTTGCTAGGTCTGTTGTAATATCTTAACGTTGGTTTTGCTTAAGAAGAATCAATTGGGTTGACAAAAAAAAAAGCTATGTTGTTAGTTCTGAACATTTAAAATGTAGCCTTGCATCAACTGGTCTAGTGAAGGTGTTTTTTTTTTTTGCCCAACAGTAAAAGGCTTCTCTCTTCCTCTTGCTTCTACAAGATTAGGGTAGGCCTTTATGCCCACTCAACTCTTAATGTGTGGTCCTATGATCAACCAAAACAATATAATTATGTACCTAATGCATGGTTACCTACCCATTTACAAATCTTTAGGTGAACCATATAGAAAGAATCCTAAAAAACGGCTAAAGTCCAAATTAACTTTCCTATTGAACCTACCCTTCTTTGAAAACTAAACTGTTTTACCTGCCCTTTACCTGTTTCTGCTACCTACACTCTTCTTACTTTTAAAGCCAGCTCTCAAAACATTGAAAATGATGATGAGAATGATGTCTACCTCGTTGAAAACTTTTGCGAATTTTGTTTTCTTATAACAACAAACTTTGCTTTAAAGTCAAGCAAGAAAACATCAGACGCTTCCCCGCTTGCAATTAGAGATTCTCCTCCATACCCATTTATGATTTTACCCCAACACGCCAAAGTTTGATAGCTACATTCAATGAAAAGCAAATATAGCTGTTTCCTCCAAAAGTTTGAAACTTGTTTGATTTTACCCCTAAAGATCTAAAATTTCAATTGATATTAACTGGTCCAAACGCTCGCAACTAAAGTACAATGAAGCTTTCTCTTAAACCCTTTTCAGTCTTAACTAGATTCAAACAGACAACCCCCACTCGTCTGCTTGAATAAAGTTAGCCACCGAATACACATGAACATGCTCATCTGGAATCTCACTGCTCCACAAAACCCTTTTTGACCTATCAGATCCTAAACCCGTGTTCTTAGATTCACCATAATACAGCGTCTTGAGCGCAAAACCCCCGCTCCACGGTAACCACCCATCAGAAATAATCAAAGCCTCTAAATTGCATCCTATAAACACAGTCCTCGAGAACTCTTTCCAAGGCCTCCCCAAGTAATTCTTATGCACCTTAGGCTTAGCTTTATACAACTTCATATACTCCTCCGTTCCGTTTATCAAACAGTTCAAGAACACAAACCCCGTTGACTGTGACGGGTCCACTCTTCCTTGAGCAGTAACAGCGTTTTTCTCTCCCTTCTCGGGTTTAAGTTGACGCGGAGCGATTAGAATCTCACAGTCTTGAAACACAGAAGCTGAGTTTCCGAAGATGAAGTCAACGTTCCCTTGGATACGACATTTATTGTAGAACTGACGAAGTCCATGTGCGTAGAGTGTGTCTTGGTTCCCAAGAAACTCACAATTCTCTAACAGAGAAAAATCACTGTCGGATCTAAAGGCTACAGCTTGGTGAGCGTCTGGTCCAGCAGTGTTCTGGAACGTTAGGTCACGTGCCATGAACCCATCTCCTACCACTCCTATCAAAACCAAACATGTAACTAACAAAACCCAACATGTAATAAAAACAAAAAAAAACATTACAAAACGACGACGTTTTACTCACCGACAGTAGCAGTGTTGTAAGTGGTGATCCCAGGCATACCGGCGTTTAACGAACCTGTAATGACCGTTTTGCCCATACCATCACCGATGAAGACAACATTTTTTTTCTCAAACGGAATCCTAACGGTCTCCTCATAAACTCCTTCGCTGATCTTTATAACGAACTTAACCGCTCCGTTATCATCAGGCGCCGCGTTAACGGCGTCCTGGACGGTCTTGTAACCGCATTTTCCGGTTTTACAAACCGTAACGTCTTCTTTTAAACCGGAAGGGAAACCCAAATTAGCCTCCGACCGGCCCAAACCCGGCCCATTCATTTTCTCCCAAAAACCATCCCGTTCCGTTCTCGGAGGAGTCCACGACGCCACGTCGTCCCCGAAATTATCTAACGACACCATCATGCTAAGCGCGTTGCTGGTGACGTGGATAAGTCCGTCTAAAAACGACATCGTTTCGCCGACCTGTTTAGTGTCGTTCACGTACTTGAGCGCGGACCAAGTATCGTACTGGTAAACGAGAGCAGCGCTGAGCCACGCGCGGGCGTCTTTTAATCCCCCACGTGTCAACGCCTGATCCGTCGATTGCGTGCGGCGCTCGGAGTAAGAGAGATACTGGAGACACGTGTTCGCTGCGTTGGTTCGGTCGAGATTCCCTGCGGAGGAGTCGAGGATGGACTTCACTTTCGATTGGGCGGTTTTTAGGGTTTGGAGAGAGGCGGAGATCGCTGAGTGGATGAGCTGTGTTGGGGTCGGATCCGGGGGGACCCGACCCGGTGGGGATAGGGAGGAGATGCATTGGTTTGGGTAACGAGTGGCTTTGCAGGCGAGAGGGATCTGAGAGGAGGAGGAGGAGGAGGAGGAAGATGGAGAGGTGAAGAGGGAGAGAGAGAGGAGGAGGATGAGGATGGAGGACATGGCGGTGAGTAAGAGACAGAGGCAGCGGATTTGGAGTTTTTTCCGGTGAGATTTGAGGGAGGAGGAGGAGGAGAAGAGAGGGTTGTGGAGTGGTTTTGACGAAGGCATTTGGAGAAGGATGTGTGTGTGTATATATATATGTGTGTGTGTGTTTATGGAAAGTAGTTAATGAAAAAGGCAAAATTAAAATGAAATTGAAAATGGATTACAAGTCACGGACCATTAGAGAGTCACGGGCGGCGGATAGTGGAACACTATTGCGATCATGCGCGCAGAGACGGAGATGAGGGAGAGAGAGAGGGTTTGGAATTTTCTGGGTGGCTTTTTATTAATTAGGAAAGAAAGGAGATGATATTGTCCGGTTTGGACTCCGGTTTTATCGGTTTAATGTTTTGGACTAGGTTTAAGGAAGGCTTTAAGTTTAAGCTATGTTGATATGAGTTTAGGGTTGGTAATTGTTGTTTTCTTCATGGTTTTCTTCTTTTATCTATATCGTCGAAATGTAGAACTACTTTTGGAATTTTCTTTGAACCGACGCGTATTAACATAATTTTAGTAATAAACAGAAATCTGAAATACTTTATTTTTTGAATTATTTGATTTGGTTTGGGATTACTACTTGGATAACGGGATTGGCATTATCCACCACTAATCACCAGTCTCAGTATTATATGTAAATAATTTTTCTAAATTTATATACCATCGAGTAAATAAAATAATATGAAAACACTATTACTTTTGATAGTTTTAATTATATAGGAAAATATTTCAAACATAACATTTGTCACAGAAACAATATATGAATATATTTACTTGGTTAAATTAAAAAAAATATTGAGCGGCCCATATTTTGAAGTAAATGACAACCTTTTGGGCTTGGGCTTGTATCGGCCTCTAAACATGTAAGTTGCACCTTTGCTATTTAGCCTAATATACATACCGGATTAGAAACAGAAAAAAGGATAATTTGTAAATTACCTTATTATCACTTATCAGTTTGATATTTGAAAAATACCTGTTCTATTTTATTTTTTGAAACTTACACCTTACTCAAATGTGAATTTAAATTTTTATCCAAATTGGATATTTCAATAATTAAAATATAATTCAAAATTAATAATAATACGGGAAATTATTAATATTTAAAATAAATATGTATGTTGAGATAAATATGATCTTTTACCAATAAAATTTTTAAAATAACAACGACACTCATAAATAAAATAAATGTTGATTTGTTTTGATTTTATCATGAAATTTAAATGAATTTTATTTTATTTTCTTAATCTTATATAAACAAATTCACGTTTTCTCTACAAAAATATTTATTCTTCCTCGAAGTCAATATATCTTCTGAGTAAGTTCTTAATGACTACTAATATTTGTTACAATTTTTTTTTGATTTTGAACATGATATGGTTAAGGTTTACTTTTTACATCGACATCTTCTATATATTATTCCTTATATTATTTTCATAGAAAATATGGAAAAATATTTTGTAGATTCTCTAACAAATATTTCAAAAAATATTACGTTGTTTCTCTAGCGGGTTTTTCATTTTTTTAAACATTTTTAAAGAACTATATTAAGAATTGAGGAATAATTAAGATTGGACAATTAAGTAAATTTACACACACATATATATATATATATATATATATATATATATATATATAAGTATATTTTTCCAAAAACTTAAATAAGAGTGTACTGGTCAAATTATAATATCATTTCAATGCATTTTTCCAAATTTCTCCAAAAAAAATAGACAGTTACCATTATTTTGGATGATGATGATTGATGACTGTGAGTACTACGTACACATACCGCAAATTCTTTTACAGCAATAAAATTAAAACAATTAATCTATAGCAAACATTATATATCTACAGTCTAAAATATTTATAATATATATATATATATATACATATATATATTAATCTTATATATCAATTTTCTACAGTTTTATGTTTAGTGTTTTTAAAACTTTGAAATAAATCTACAATAATTAAAATGTAGGGATCTAAAACCACAAAATTTACCACTTAAATTTGAAGTAAAGAATTTAAAATGACAGTCTATACCCTTCGAATCCTTTATTTTATTTTGACATAAGAGCTTTTTGATATATTAAGATATACGATCATAAAAATAATATTTTACTGACTTTATAATTATTTAATTAAATTTAAAATTTTCAAAATTCTGTTACAATAAGTATAGAAGCACATTTCAGTGAAACTTGAGAAATTTTGTTGTCCTCTCTCAATTTTGTTATTTATTTTTCTTCAAAAAAATTGTTAGCTACCATACATAAATTTTCTGATAAAGAAACTTTAGGGGATTTGACACAAAAAAAAAAGAAACTTTAAGGGAAATTGTCCAAGCAGAATTATGTATGGCATGTCGTTTAAAAGAGTATAAAAGAGTATATTTTCTTCCTATGAATTATTTTTATTAGTGTTAACATGTGAACAAAATTCATAGTTCTTCTATAAATACAAACATATCATTCATTATATTAGTTTTTATTAATAATTTTTGAAGAAATTTATTGTTAACTAATAACTTTTACATTAAATTTAGTATTGATAAATAGTTTTGGTAAAATTATAATTGAACATATTCAGAAATTAATGATAATATTGAATAGAACTGTTATACAATCTTATTATATAAAGCTTGGTTCTTCAAAGTTACTAATTAACAAGATTGTGACATATCAAAATTATATATCTAAGATTGTGACATGTGTTAAATTGTCTCATAGTTATATACATGTATAACTATTTAGATAATGACAAAAACAAATTTTATTAAAAAATAATTTATAAATATTATGTAATAGTAATTTTCCATTTTTAAATCCTAAATAGAAGATATTTACAAAAATATAGTTGATAACAATTTTCCTTTTAATATTATCACATGTATTAAAATATCTTATGATTATAAATATATATACTAAAATAGTAAAAAATAATTTTAAAGATATTAATTTTAAAAATTGTTTAAAACTAAAAGAAAAAGTTAAAATTTTTAATTGTAGTTTTCCTTTTATTAATCCTAAAGAAAAAGATTTAAAATCATAAAAACGAAGTATGAAAATAATAATTTTAAATATGGTTTAAAGGGCAAAAATATTATTTGATAGTAATTGCCCTAAAATCCTAAAAAATCCTATTACCAATTTGCATTTTTTAAAATCCTAAAAAATATTGTTTGATAGTAATTTCCATTTTAAAAATTTTGTATATGTTAAAATATACCATGATTAACAAATATATATACGAAGATGATGAAAATTAATTTTACTACTAAAATTAATTTTAAAAATTTAATAGCATTTTTTTCTAAACCATGTTCTTTGAATAAGTTTTGAACAAAAAAAATTTGCAAAATAATTTATTTGATACTAATTTTCCTTTTCTAAAATCCTGAAAAAGTAATTAAAAAATCTTTTATAGTAATTGTTCGTTTCTAAAATCTTAAAGGTATGTAAATTATGAAATAATTTTTAATAGTCGTTTTCCATTTTTCAAATCTTAAACAAAAAAATATTTGTCAAATAATTATTTCAAATATTTTTATGTTCTTTTCTTCTTAAATTGATGATGATTTTTAATATATATACTAAAATAATAAAAATAAATTTTGAAGATATTAATTTTAAAAATTGTTTAAAATTAAAAACAAAAGAAGTTAAAAGTGTTTCATTGTAATTTCCTTTTCACAAACCCTAAACAAAAAGATTTAAATAATAAAAAGGAAATTTTAGTATATTAATTTTAAATATTTTTTGAAAGTAAAGAAAAATAAAAGTGTTTAATTTTAGTTTTCCTTTTTTAAATCCTTAAAAATTATATTCGTAAAAGAAATTATTAATTGGCTTTTCTAAAATCCTAAAGAAACAATTACTGTAAAAGATGATTTGATAGTAATTTTGTGTTTAAAATTTTTATATGTGTTAAAATTAATCATGATTAACGAAATATATATACTAAGATAATGAAAGAAATTTTAAAAAAATTTAGAACTTATTTAATAGAATTGTTTCTAAACCATTTTCTTTTAGAAATATTTAATAAAAAAAGATTTGAAAAATCCTGAAGAAATTGTAATTGAAAAACATATTCGATAGTAATTATCATTTTCTAAAATCTTGAGCATAAGAAAATTATAAAAGAATCTTTAATAGTATTTTTCCTTTTTTCAAATCCAAAGCAAATAATATTTGTAGAATAACTATTTCAAGTATTTTTTTTATGTTCTTTTATGCTTAAACTGGTGATGACTCTTATCGTTGTCATATTTGTCATGTTGTTGTACGTTTGTTATTGCAATAGTTATACTTAGGTGTTTGTATGTAGTATTTTGATATTGTATGTAAGTTAATGTGTCTATTATGCTTATGTGTGTTTGTTTTTATCGACACTATAAAATTATTTATGCTGTTATAGATAAGTTGATGTCAATGTCAGTCTGTTATCTTTATGTACCACTGTGCTTATGCCTGATTGTTAAATTATTTAATTAAAAGAAAAACTAATTGTAAAAATAGTAGTGATACAAATAGTAAAATAGTAGTTTTAAAATCATTTAATAGTATTGAAATAATTATTTGATAGTAATCTAACTTTGGAATTCTAGATAGAAGATAATTGTAAATGATTGTATGATAGTAATCTTTATTTTCTAAAATCTTACACAAAAATGTAAAACAGTATTTGATATTTATTTTTTTAAGTTATATATAAAATAATTTATAGAATATAATGTTTCTTTTTTAAAATCATAAGAAAATGAAAATTTTAAAAAAAATTATTTAACAATGATTTAAAACATAAAGATTTTGATGATAAACATGATAATAAAACAATTTAATTAACAAAAACAAATAGGTGTTTGTCATGATTAGTCTTTATATTTTTTTTGTATGTGTTTGGTCATAGAAAAATCAAACACATGTTTGATATTTTTATGTTTAGTGATAAAATAGAATATTATTATTATCACCGTAAATGATCTTTATATGTATATAGTCAAAATTAAATCAATTTTTATCATCATCTTATTATATCTATGTTTTACTATATAGTATTTCTAATTCATTTTATTAAAATGTTATTATGAAAATAATATCATTAAAATGAATTCAAAAAATTAATTAATAACATGCAATTTTAATAAAACGGTCTTATTGTTAGTTGGAAATGAGAAACAAGTAATTCAAAAATAACTATAAATTAAGTACACATAGGGAAAAATTATAAATTCAAAAACTGGAAAAAAAATAAAGAAATTGTTTGAAATACTATAATCTAAATACCATTTTTAATACTACATAAAAGGCGTATAACATCTGAATTTATGATTTAGTGTTTAGAGTTTAATACTTAAGGGATGAAATTAATTTATAAAGTTTTATAGAGATTCCAAATGATATATATGATACTAAATGTCATATAGTAAAATGAAATTATAAAAACTTTTTAATTACCTCTAAGATCGTCTTCTTTAACCTTATTACAATATATA